GAAGTCAGGTGGCGAGAGGGTGAGAAGAGAAGGTGGACTTAGAAGAGGAAGAAGAAGAACTCTCTCTCTCTCTCTGTGTCCAGTACTAACCTGTGGAGTTGGTGCCTTGATGCCGGTACCACGAAGATGGAGCTGGAGCGATGGCGCCACAGGTAAGTATCACTGGCCTCCGCCAGTCTCTCTCCCACTCTACGATCTACCACCTACCAGCGCCCAGCGCTGAAGACTACGACTACAGCTATGGCGCCCAGCGCCGAAGACTACAGCTAGCGCTAATACCACCTAGCGCTGAAGACTACTGCAGCGCTCCTCCTGAGTGCTGCGGCCGAATTCCTGAACACTCCCTCGTGCCTACTGAACTACCTACCCGTGAAGTGCATGGGAACTTCCTATGTACTACCGGGTGTGCCTCCTGAGCCTGCCGAAGGGAGGCAGGGGCTGCAGCTGCAGCTCCTGCTCAAACTCGTGAGGAACAGGCTATTCTTGGCCTGTTCCGCATCCCTGTTTACGTGCCTGAGTCTTAGGGGCAGGTCGAAACAACGAGGGCCTGAAAATGGCCCTCCGTTTCAGGGTGAAAACTCTGGGTCTGAAAAGACCCAGAAATAGGCTGAAACGGGGTAGGGCCTGCAGGCCCTCGTTTTTCAGCTTCCAGGCTGAAACGACCGGGGCCTATAAGCCCTAAGTTTTAGGCTTCTAGGCTGAATGTCCGGGACGGGCCTGCAGGGCCCGTGTGGCTACGCAGTATGCCACAGCAGCACAGCACACTGGCGACATGCGCCCACTCAGAACTCAGAGATATGGCTTCCAGATATGAGTCCTCTTTCAACTGACTATGGCGACTTAGCGCCCAAACAACTCACTGTTCACACCCTGAATCACCCTGGATATCCCACACACGTCCCTCTGAGCACTCACACATGCACACACACTCTTCCCACTAACTACAGCTATAGCAGCTACGGCTGCCTCTAACCCATCGCTATGCTAACTCCTCCTCTCTTGCCCACTGCGTCCTCCGGGCCCCCTGCAGACCTCTTTGCACAAGTCGCTGTGGCAGCGCTTCCGCATGGCTCACGCAGGAATGAATGGTTGGCTGGGCGCTGCCTCTTGATTTATACTTCAGAAACTCGTTGGTCTGCCCTGTGCCACCAGCCCATGGTGCCCACAGTCCCCCGTGGTACTTGCTGGACCGGACTGGGACTGACTGGGGACCTACTGCTATACCTCTCGACTTGCACTGCAATCGCACTTCGATTTAGTCCCCACAGGCCTCACCACTTGAACACTTGCCTCGCCACTTGACCACTTGCTAGTTTCTGGACTTTGCTAAGACTCCTACCCTATAGACCTATAGATCGAACCCTGCTACCTACGGACCTGTGACAACCCTCCCTGTTGTCTACGGATACACAGGTCACAGGTTCGATTCTCGGGCTCTACACAGATACTGTACATAAGTAGGGTGAGGTCTGGTGAGTGAACCCTGGGTCTGCATCTGTAGCTGCAAAAGGTGAAAACTGTTTCACGCCCGCCGTCCTAAATTCGAGGTCCTCCGAGAACATCTCAGTCCAAGGCGGGACCTTTACCTTTCCTGTCACGCTCATATGCTCTGACTATGTCGGGCGCTGTTTCTAGAAGTTCTGATCTCGTAAACCAGCGGTCATCCTCCGGTTCCTGATATGCAAAACGGACTTTGTACTGTTTCTGTGGACGACCTCTACCTCGTGTTCTGAAGACATCCTCATCTACAATGCCTTCTATGTCGTAGCTCCCATCCATATCCGGAGGGATCATGGATCTCCTAGAAGGGAACTGTTGGCTTGTAACACATGGCAATAGCTTAGAAGCGTGAAACACAGGATATGTGTGGAGGTGTACTGGGATCTCTATAGTGTAGGACGGTCCATCCTCTCCGCCCTTGACTTCTAGAACCGGCCACGGTCCTCTATATGCAGGTAGCAACTTCTGTGAGATGTTTTCTTCTGGTGCAAACTCTTTAGCCTTGACCCAGACTAAGTCACCTACCTGAAACTGCGACAGTCGGCGGTGCGTATTAGCTTGCTCTATCATTCTATGCTGGGCCTTTCTGAGGTTTTCAACAATAGTTGTCAACTCTTTCTCATGCTGTATGGCAAACTTCCTAGTACCGGGCGGTAATCTATGAACCTGATCCCGCTTCAGTCCTTCAAACGGTCTGCGTGGTCTAAAGGACTTGTGCAGCTCATTGGGAGTGCGACAGGTAGATAGATGCACGCTATTGTTGTATGCACTAGCTACTTTAGGTAACATCTCATCCCAATTAACCTGATCTGGTCTAATGTACATGAGTAGAACTTGCTGTAGGATCTTGTTCATCTGCTCGGTCAGACCGTTAGTCTCTGGGTGGCGGCCAGACGACATTAACAACTTAGATCCGTACACTTTCATGAGTTCCTGCCAGTTCTGGCTGGTGAAACGACTATCTCTATCACTAACTATTGACAATGGGATTCCATTCTCACTAACCCAAAAGTCAAAGAACTTCTGTATCACTAAGTCTGTACGTGCCTCTGCAGGCAAAGGAACGAAAACTGCATATTTACTAAACCGGTCAACTATGACCATGACTTGACTTTTGCCATGTCGACTTTTGACTTGGGTGTCCATAAAGTCTATGGACACTGAGTCTCCCGGCTGGTCCGGAATAGGCAAGGGTCTGAGAAGACCTAGGGGCGCACGTGTAGTGGTCTTATTACGCTGGCATACTTTGCAACTACGGACATACTCTATGCAGTCATCCTTCATCCCTGGCCAGGTATATGCACGCATCAGGTTGGCTGGAGTCTTTTGCCAACCGAAATGTCCCTCTATGTCATGGCATTCCCCTAGGATTAGACTGCGAATTTCCTCACTACTGGGAACGCATAGACGGTCAAACACACATGTCTTCTCAAACAATAATCCTTCGGTAGTGCAGTAATGCGGTTCTGTCTCTGGGGCCTCCTTAACTCTCTTGAGGATGTCGCTATAGATAGGGTCCTGTGCATACGCTTGCTTTACTTTTTCCTGCAGGTCTCTCCCTACATCCAGATAGTGTACTATGGCTCCAAAGTAGTCTGACCTCCTACTCAAAGCATCCGCAACTACGTTATACTTGCCCTCCACTGGCTTAAGCTCAAAATCAAACTGGTCTATTTCTGCGGCCCACCTGGTTAACTTAGGTGTCATCTTGGCCTGGGTCTTTAACCACCTAAGGGTCTCGTGATCCGAATAAACTTTGAAGTGTCTCCCAAGCAGATAGTGCTTCCAGTGGTCCAAAGCCTGCCTGAGAGCGTAGAGTTCTCTCTCATACGTGGAGGTAACGACCTTCTCACAGGGCATCCTCGCTGACATGAACTCTACGGGTCTATAGCCATTGTCGTCGTCTTGCTGCAACACGGCGCCTATTCCATACTGACTCGCGTCTGTAGTGACGAAAAATGGTAAAGATGGATCGACTACTTTGAGGACAGGGTACTCTATTAACGCACACTTCAATTTCTTTAGCGCAGACGTACAGTCCTTGTCCCACTGCCAGATTGCCTCTTTCTTAAGCAACCTGCGCAAGGGGGCGGCGATGGTCGAGAAGTTCCTGACGAACTTCCTATAGTAGTTAGCTAGGCCTAAAAACGACCGCAACTCTGTCAATGTGCGGGGTGTAGGCCAGTCTCTAATCGCCGCGATCTTGCTGTCCTCTGGCTTAATGCCATCTCCGTCTAATACGTGGCCCAAGTACATGACTTGTATCTTGGCCCACTCGCACTTCTTCGCGTTGATCTTGAAGTTAGCCTCTCTAAGCTTCTCCAAGACCTGCCTCAGATGACCCTGGTGCTCCTGGAGGGTCTTACTGAAAACTAGAATATCATCTAGATAAACTACCACAAATTTGTCTAACCACGGTCTAAACAGGTCATTCATACAACGCTGAAAAGTAGTTGGCGTGTTGGTTAGTCCAAAGGGCATCACTATGAACTCATAATGCCCGTATCTCGTCCGGAACGCAGTCTTGTACTGGTCATCAGGATGGACCTCTATCTGATGATATCCGGACTTTAAGTCTATCTTAGAGAAATACTTGCACCCCTGCACCCGATCTATAAGATCGTCTATCCTGGGCAGCGGTTCAGCATTCTTTATGGTAATCGCATTCAAACCCCTATAGTCTATGCACATACGTAGCTCTCCTTCCTTCTTTGGGACGAACAGGACGAGTGCTCCAAAAGGAGACGAGCTGGGCCTGATCCAACCTTTCTCAAGGAGCTCGTCTAACTGTTTGCGAAGCTCCTCTAACTCTCTAGGGGACATCCTGTAGACTGCACCCTTAGGAGTTCTACTACCAGGCTCTATCTCTATCCTGTGYTGGATGGGTCGCGACACTACTCTTGTCGGTGACTCAGTCAAGTCTTTGAATTCTTCCAGCAGCTTGACAATTGTTGGATCTGTGGAACTATCATTTTCCTAGGCCTCAAGGACAGGTCTAACATAAACTACAAAGACCTGGTCCTCTAACTGCTCCTTTTTCACTAGTCACGCAAACGCGGGAGCACTGAGGCAGCAATCCACCAAGGTGTTGTCTACATCTGACACATGGAATAGGCGGGTAGCCTTAATCTCACCTGACGGGCTAGGGAGTCTACACTCATGCTCTCTCAAATGAAGTGTGGCTCCTGCTGCCTCTCCCCAATCCATTCCCAATACCACGTCAAAGGGAAGGTCATCCTGTACGAGGAGAGTCAGGGAATGGAGAACTTTCTCCACCTTCCCATCCTTTTCTAGGCGAAAGTACGCCTGGACTCCCTCTACATAGTCCTCAACTCGCATCGTGCGGTTGTGTGCGAGGACACTAACTATGGGGTCTGCCAATTTTTTGACTTTTAGTCCCAGTCTCAACTTCTTCAGCGCCCTATGGCTGATGTAACTACGGGCAGCTCCTGAGTCTATGAGGGTCCCTACTCTACTTCTAAACACTTCTATGTCTACCAAGATCAGTTGTCCCTTACTCTCTTTCTTCATTTTGGCCCAGTCTGGCATCCTCTTTTTCAACTCATCTGCCACGCCAGTGAGAAACGTGCCTAGAGAGACGCTAACACAAGCGGTCTCTGGACAGCTAGCTAGGCACGGACCTTCAACCTCTGCCATGGACTCATCTGGGTTGGGAGTATCCTGTTCGCGCGGTCCTGAAGTAGGGGCAGTTGCGACCCCTACTGGCGGCTGCCTTTTGCCTGCTGGGCAGCCCAACGGGCCTGTCTATACTTGGGACAAAATTTGATTACGTTCCCCGGGTCACCACAAAATACGCACTGACCCTGGTCCACGAAGAAGGGGGGAAGATGATGACGTCAATACCAAGTCTGTGATACGGGTCCCAAATAATCCCCCGTCCGACGTCTTAATCCCAATGTCGTGTCTGGATCCAATATCGTCAGGTCTCGAGCCACAACTCCCTCTCGTAGTCCGCAGATACTGAGAAGTTAGACAGAGAAAAGGGTGAAGAAGAGATGGTGGACTTAGAAGAAGAAGAACTCTCTCTCTCTTTTCATACACACATACACACGTACGTAGTACTCATGTGGTAGTGTATATCCCCTCGTTGCAGGGATATATTCATTCGATTTCTACGTATTTGTTTATTTGCTTATTTATTTATTTATTTATTTATTTATTTATTTATTTATTTATCTATTTATTTGCTCATGGAAATACCGGGATCGGTTGCGAGGAAACGAAACTTACTCGTTCTTTTCTCCCGCTCCTCGTCGCTGCTACCGTCGTCGTCGAGCCGTTGTCTTCGTGGTAGCTTCCGTAGTCATCTCTACGATCGACTGCCCACACTATCCGGTAGGCGCTCTCTTCTTTCCGTCCTCCTTCCAATTCTCTTCCTCTATACTTCCTCACACGACTCCTCTCCTCTCCTCCTTCCCCTCCTCTTTCTTCTTCCTTTCTCCTTCACCTACTCCTCCTCTTGTTCGTACGCACCTCCTCCCTTCGTGCTTGATTGTACTTTCGCGCATTCATCCGCTCGCATGCTTTGCTCGCTTGCACGCTTGTAGCGCTTGCTGCCGTATTCGTGTTCGTCCGCGAATGCTTGTGTTTCTGTCTTCTTCCCTTCTTCATTTTCCCGATTTCTTGTGCGCTGGCCTGCTCGCTTCCCACCGCGTTGTCGCGTTTGGTCATCCGTCCGCGTCTCGTCTTTGCTTCTTCGGGCGCCCATACGCTTCGGTCATACCTTGTTAGCTTCCCTAGGCCGAAGAACCTGCCCTTCTAATCCAGGCAAGTTCAGTCCTCGTGTTTCTCGTTAAGTAGGCAATAATAATAATAATAATAATAATAATAATAATAATAATAATAATAATAATAATAAATATATAAAAAAAAAATAAATAAATAATAATAATAATAACATCCAAGCAATACGTGAATCTAAGCGTGATAGTAGTAGATATACAAAGACTAGGCCATTCATTTCGAAGGTACGCTAGTTCGTTTCATCCCAACGTCCCACCGACCTCGCAAGCGCCCTGCGTCCGATGTATGCCCCCGTAGCTATTGACAGCTTACTGACTCCTACCTAACTTGACGAATCTAGCCATCATCCTAGGCAGTATTCCTATCGGATGTAAAAGGCGACTGTTTCAACGGACCCGATCTGGAACCGAAACTGTCGGGTTCCTGCTGTGTAAGGAGCCTAAACTTTCAACCCCCTTACTACCCCTAAGGTGGAGGTCACGGGTTCGAGCCCCGGCAGTCCGAGCGCGGGGTAAAACTAAAGAAAACTTCTTGTTAAAAAGGAGCTAGCCCGAAGGCCGGAGGGATTCGTCCCCTGGTTCAATCCCTTGATAATTCGTGCCTATACCTATTGGGCTAGCTCCTTGTTCGGTTAAAACAGGAGCTATTCAGCCATAAGTAGAGCATGGACTCGACTTTCCAAGTATAACAGGCCCACGGTCCGTTCCCTAGGGTTGATTCACGTTTGTACTGACTGCTGCTGCCTTAGCGTGCTAGACAGCGCGTCCCTCTTTGGCTCCCTTGGCCATAAGGCCGAGGTGTATACTAACTTTCTATCTTACTCAAGCCGGGGGGAGGGGGCGGAATATATTTATCCCCGCTGCGTACCGTGTTTTGATGCTTTATCCCGGCGTGCCGTCTTCAACTTCCTTTCGTTAGACTAACCCTCCGGCCTCTGTCACCGGTGGTTTAATTACTAACCCTTCTCCAATTCTTTGCGTGGTTCAAAGTGACGCGCGTGGTCTTTCAAATTTTTAATCCATTAATCTTTCTGCATTCGCCACGACAAGGCGGACGAACATCCGAAAAAAAATAAAAAAAATAACCATCGACTTTAGTTTGTGTGCGTCATGTTCTGGCACTTGCGCTGGCAAAACCTTCTCGACCATAGCGGTTGAGGGGTTTGCCTCATTTCCCGTGTTTAACCGTCTTCAGCCTATCCGTTGACGCCGACGTTGTATCGACCACAAAATCATGGGCGGATACCCTTGTAAGGGTATTAGCTCCGACAGTTTTTCCAGACCCCATTAAGCGACGTCCCCGTCGCTGGGGAATCTAAAATGTAAACAAAAGCCTTCTGACGCAACAAGTGGTCAAAATTCGATCCCCTGGATGAAGTTGCGGTTTTGAGACCCTCATTGTCCCCCTTGGTGCGTCCACACTGCCAGGATTTTAACCTGGGTCTCCCACATATCCTAAATTATTCCGAAGAAAAGATTATTCCATAAAACCCAAGTGAGCATACTGGATCTGTACTAGAGTCGCGGAGGTCACCAAGGAAGACAATGATAGCTCCTCCCCCCAACTTTAGGCTTTATTTGTCAGGATCTCGTTGGGTGTCCTGAGGAGTTTGAAATCAAAATTGAATCCCACTCTTTGGACGCGGGTCTTAACCTAAGTCAAATTTTTCCGTCTCACCCGAAGTCTAATGCGAGGGGATCGGCAACCTTGGCCTCAACCCACCACAGCCGGTTGATGAGACCGAAACTGCGGCCCACCGCGTTTATTATTTTTAGCGATGGTTCCCGTATTGGTTACATAATATCGGGTGGAAATCTCCTATCACTCTAGACCTGACTCTTGATCCCGCCAACATCTACCTGAACCAATTCCATCATTAAGGAGGTCCCTTCTCAGGTTTTGGTCCTAGGCCGTAATCGGAAGGCCTGCTGCCTGGTTATGCTTGGTCAGCAGCCCACGATGGGAATTACGTCCCAACGATGTCAATTTTCCACCATTGGCTTGGTAATTTCAAGTCCCTCAGACTGACCACCTAGAACGGATGAACGATGATCATTTGAAATATGTATAAAAACAATTTGACCAAAGAATCCCTTCGTCAGTTTAGGTGAATGAACCTCTTTGAAAATATAAAAAGAAAATTTAACCAATAAAAATTATATATCATGATTATCATATGTCACCGAACGAGTGGCATCGTCAGAGCCACTTAGGGGTCGTGTTTATATATCATGATTATCATATGTCACCGAACGAGTGGCATCGTCAGAGCCACTTAGGGGTCGTGTTGCCCAAACCTCGATCACAGGCTGGACAGACACACGTCTCGGGGATCTTCAACCAAGAGCAAAAGCCAACCAAATATCCATAAAAAAAAGGTATAAAAGTATTTGTTTGACTCCTTGTCTTGTTAGAAGGCAGAAAAAAAAACAACGATTTTATTCATACATTCCCCTGTCTCGCAGAGTTTCAAATGAATCAAAGCCTTTATTTTTCGCACACCCCCTTTTTAGGATTTTTCTCAACAATAACAGCATAAGACAAAGCATGGAAGAATGATCAACAATGTCAAAGCACATTCAGACCGTACATGTCACATTTCACTTTATCTTTCTTGAACACTTAGGCGCTTTTGTGAGCATCCTAGTTCAMGACTTGATAATACAGTTCRTACAGACTTCAAAGATACAYATTYCATCWAAACAAGACCAAACACTGGACCAACTCASTTGTRAAAGTGAAAGTGTCTCTCGCTGGCATACCCCATAAATAAAATTAATAAAATATGACTCAAGAGAAGGAAGACAAGCTAAAAGAAACGGCCTTCCTCCTAAAAGAGAAAAACAAATATGAAAGATGGAGTACGAGTTACGTGCCTCTCTGTCCCCACTCGCTGAAGTACGCATGCTGAGCTAATTCTAGGTCAAAACAAAGGTTCCAAAAATTGTTGACTTTTTCCTGCTGCTAAAGTACATCACTATGTCTCAAGAGAACGAGACCCTATCTATTTTACACTTTCTATAAAGTCACGCAAAGAAAAAGAAAGAAGCATGAATGATCGTAGAGAACATAGGAGGTCAAGGCACATACTTTCCCTCTAGTCTATCATGCTAAGGTTCAATTGTCTATACAGTTGAGCCCTGAATCCGTCCTTGGCCTTCTTAACAGGGTTCCCATCCCTGTCAATCAACTTCTTGTTCTCATCCAACTTTATCAATCCCTTTCCCTCATCAAACTTAAATCTTGGACACTTTTCCGTTAGATGCATCCCTTTCATGCAATATCAACACAACTTTCTGCCCTCACTTCCTGGCTTTTTGGCAGAATGACATGGAATTGCTGCCTCCTTCTCTCCACATGCTTCCACCATTTCAGAACAAGGTTTCTTTTTACTATCTCCTGATTCGCCTTCATTGGAAGACTTTGTGACATCGTCAGATGTCATTAATTCAACCTTTTGGGTAGCAGAAGTTGGAATGGCAGTAGGATGATCACTGTTTTCCCCTCTTTGTCCCAATACTTCTCTGCTTGCTCTTCCTGAGCCTTGTCCTGGTGCATGAAGTGTCCTTGTAACACTTCTGATTTCAAATCTTATTTCGCCGTTTCACTCAACAACTTTTGTAGGTGCCTCTGTTTCTCCTTGACTAGCCTTTTTGAGAGTTTCCATCTCCTTTTCCTGCTCACTAGCCTTCCCTTCCAGCTTACCAACTTTCTCCTTCAATTTTTCTCGCTCAATATTCTCCTTTTCCACCTCCTTATCTTTGTTGCTCAAGGCAACACTCAATGATTCCACTTGTTGCTTTAATTCCTTTCGTTCCCCATCCATTCGGCTCATTTCGACCTTCATGTTCTCCACCTTTTTTTTCATTTTTTTCATTCGTGCATCCCTGTTTTCTTCCCTCTTTCTCARTCTTTGAATCTCTTTTAGGATTTCAGGGATGTGACTCGCTACTCCCTGAGTGAGTAATTCCTCCTTCTCTTTTACCCTTTCTTGGAACTCTCTAATCGAAGCCTCCACCTTCCCATCCTCGTCATTCCCTTTTTGGTTATTTCCTGCCCCTTCCAATTTMTCAGATATCGCCTCCTCCTTCAAGGCTTCAAGGAGTCACTCACAGTCATCCCGAAGCACCTCATGCAGCCTGATTAATTTGTCCACGTCTGACCGTAGCTTAGAGCCCCTGATCGATTCAATCAACAAGATTCTCTCGATCTTCTCACTCTAAGRATCATCTGCAGGTAACTCACCTTCCTCCATTGATGCCACCATTCTGTCCCTCCATTCCCTATTTTCTTCCTCTCTCTTTTCTCTCTCTTCCTTGGTCATTCTCCTCGATCCGGGTTTTCTGAGAGGATTCTTAGTTGCTGCCATCCCAGTCTCTTTCTCTGTTTGATTCTTTTTTTTTTCTTTTTCTTCATTCTCCTTCGCGCCTTCTTTCTCTTTTGCTACCTCCTCCACTTCCTTCTTCCCTTCCTCTCCTCTCATCATGTCATGTTCCTTCTCTCCCTCTTCTTTCTTTTCCTCCTTCTCTTTTGTGCCTTCTTTCTCTTTTTCCACTTCCTTCTTCCCTTCTTCTCCTCTCATTATGTCCTGTTTCTTCTCTCCCTCTTCTTCCTTCTCCTTCTTCTCCCTGCTTCTTCTCTTCTCGTGCACTCTTGTGGTCTTGCTTGCTGATTCATTTCCCTTCTGAACTGTTGTCCTCTTTCTTTCAAGCACCTTTCTGGGGGGTACATCATCCTCATCAATCTCATGTCGAGCTTTTCTTTCCTGCTTGTCTCCTCTTCTCCCTATCCACAATCCTTGCTCCTRAAGTAACTGGCCTTTCTTTTGTCTTTGTACCACCAGAGTGTAGGTTCTCCTGAATTTGACAAGAAACCCACCCCAGGTATCTGACTCCTCCTTAATCTTCCTCATACTCTCATATTCTCTGGGGTTCACTCTCGCCATTACCAGTTCCATCTTCTCCTTCTCCTTCCACCCTTTCTTTCCAGCACACTGAGTGAGGCTGTCCTCAAAATCCTCCACATTGGTTCCATCGAAGATAATATCATCCTCGATCTCGTCTCTCCTCAAGTTCCTATATTCAGCCCACATCTTTGTTTCGAATGTCATCCAACCCAGGCAGTCGGTGGTGATTTCCTCAATCTTCAATTGACATTCCCCCACACTTGTCACTCTGAGCAGCATGGTTGGGRTCTCTCGCTCCCTCCTGAATGCGTAATCCTCGAACTCCCTCAGGAACAACCTCAAATTGTCCCGCTTCTTGTAGATCGTCATTCCATCTGCATCCCTGGTTACCCGTCGTAATCCTTGTCGTCGTTCCTTGCCAGAAGCTGGCCTAGAAGGYCCCACCACCCCTCCCTACCGTGTCATTGCCGCTCCCTTTACAKGATTAAGCCTGCACACAAAAGGACGAGGAAAGTGGCAGGTGCAACAGGGTGTCAGCAGTCGGGTAACAATATCAGGTTCGCAAATGATGCAATCACAAAAGTTCTTAAGGAGGATTGAATTGACTTATCTTTAGGTTATTGACTCACCTCATCTCTTGTCTTGAATTTCTTCAACCTGGATCCAGAAACCTAGTCTCGCCTTGACGTTCCATCCATTTTCTCCAGCTCATACGCCCCATGATTCCCTAAACGTCGAACCTTGTATGRCCCCAACCATCTCTTATCCAGCTTCCTTGACCATTGTTTYTCCAGGAATGAGTCATACAGSAGTRCTMCGTCCCCGACTGCCGATGGTTCAGTTCGTACGCGAGGAAGCCGGTCCCATCTTTCCTTGTCTTTTCCCCGATTGTTAGTCACTTTCTCGACTGCTTCTTGAATCCTTTCCTYTGTGACACTGACTTGTCTGGCTCGGATGTCAAGCAATTCTTCAAGCGGCAGCTCGTTTTCAATATCCTGCCTCCGCCAGGTCTTTAGAAAGCTTTTTATTGGGAAAGTGACGTGCCTTCCATACCATAAGGTCGCAGGAGCATACCCTGTGGTTCTTCTAACTTTGATGTTTTCGACGAAGAATACAGTTCGCAGAAATTTTGGCYACAAGTTCGGTTTCCCAGTTGTCCACTTTGCCAGTAGGTTCGTAATGGTGTTGTGCCCTCTTTCCACTGGAGCGTTAGCCTGAGGATGTGCCCTAGTGGTGTACTTGGCGATTACCCCGAGATCATCCAACAACTCTCCCACCTCCCCGCATGTGAATTCTGACCCTCTATCCATCGTGAATTCCACTACGAAAGGATATCGGAGGTAATATTCTTTGATGCATTCGGCCAAGACCGTCCCAGTCTTGGTCCGGATGGCCTTTCCATCAACAAACCCTGTGAGGTTGTCTCTAGCATCAAAGATGTAGTTGTACCCACCAAGTCCCAACGACATTGCTAACAAATCCAAGTGGACAACAGCCCCYACTTCCTTGATATACCTCGGGTGAAGAGGTTCTTTATACCTGATCGGCGATCTGACCTGGCATGRCACGCATGATTCAMAGTACTTTCTAACCATCCCGTACATACCTTCCCAAAAGTAGAGCTCATTCACTTTCTTGAGGGTAGCGGCAAAGCCTCTATAACCTCCAACAGGTCCGTCGTGRAGGGCAGCTATGACATCAATCTATCGAATCCTACCACAGATAACTCTCCTAGGTGGTYCTATTTTATCCCTGATGAAAAGATGACCACCCTTTACCACATAATGGTCCCTCATGCGGAGAGTTTTCTCACCAAATTTCATTTATCGCTTGTCGCCGGAGAGAAGAAGTCTCATTTCCAAATGGAATCCATCGTATTCTTCTTCCCGAAAATCTTCTGACATTTCGCCTTGCTCAAACTCCTCTCCCTCCATTTCCTCATCAAATTCATAGTCATCTCCCAATATTATTTTATCCGCCTTTACCGGTTTTCTTTCTTCTTCGTTCCGGACTTGTAGGAGAGAGTTCACAAGGTAATGCACTCTCCCTACCGTTAATAAATGTCAATCCGCCTGCCCTGTTCCTACGTCAATCGTGACCGGTTCCCCTGTCTATCTGTAACTTTCAGCCAAGGCTAACTCTGTCATCCATTCCCCATTCCTTTCTCCCCACGGGTCTTCTTCGACGAAAGGCTTTAATACCACCTTTTCATCCTTCACAAAGGTCGCGGGTGCGAACCACATGGGTCTTCCTTCTCGCATCCCATCATCATCGACCCTCAAGGCCCACGCGTTAATGTGAAGTTGCATGTCATCCTCTTCCAAGAACCCGTCTAATGGCGGTATCTCTTCCTTAGCTTCTCCAGGTTTCTCCCATTCTATCCTGATCAATCCATCCGCTCTGTTCTTATTCCCCGGAATGCGCTCCAACTGAAAATCAAACATCCAGATGTAGGTGAGCCACCTGACAACTGTAGGATCAACTGGAGAGAAGTTCCGAAGGGAATACATAAGGGCCGTCGGATCTACTCTTAGAATGAATCTCCTCCCAAAGAGATAATGTATGAAGATCTGTAGGCAGTATAATACTGTCAGGGCGTCCTTCTGAATTGGAAGTAATTCTTTTCAGTTGAATTGAGAGTTCGACTCTCGAAGCGCAACGGTTTTTCCTTACCCTCACGATCCGCCTGTATCAAGACTCCTCCTAAGGCGGTGGGTCCGGCATCAGTCTCTATTATGAAGGGGCGCTCTAAGATCGCCTCGTAGTCCGGAACTCCCAGTACCAAACCTCCTTCCTCAAATTCCTCCTTCAAATTTCTCACCACCTGCTCCCGCTTCTCTCCCCACTCTGATTCCTGATTCTTTCTCACAAATTTCCTCACGTGCTCAGTCTTTGTAGCAAACTCCTTGATGAATATCCTCCAGAACCCACATGTGTCAAAAAAACACCTCACTTCTCATATATTCTTGAATGGTGTCGACCACTCAAGAATTTTGTTTGTTTTCTTGGTATCCGGACGACGACCTTGCTCGTTACATACAAACCCAAGAATGGTCGCCTCTCTCATGCAATGCCTGGATTTAGCGCTACTCGCCGTGAGGTTGTGCTCCTGCAGGAGATTGAGCACCTTCCTGAGATCATTGACATGATCCCAGAAAAACTTTCGAATGCAAGGAGCAACCTCTTATTCATCTTTTATCATTGGTCCCTTTACCGCTAGATCATCGATATGTGGTTCTGTGATTTGTGGACTAATCGGCTGCATAACTCTGACCATACTCCTGTGAACCATGGTTATCGCATTTGTCCATCCTTGAGGTGCTACGTTCATATGGATCAACCCCCTAGGAGTGTGCATTGCAGTTATTGGCCTATCTGCCGGGTAGACAGGGAATTGGTCATAGCCAGAGTAGAGGTCTGTAAGAGAAATGATAGACCTCCCAACGCATGCCTCGGAGAGCTGATCAGCGTTAGGGAGCCCTCCAGCATCCCTAACAGTCACGGCATTCAATCTTTGCAAGTCCTGCACCCACCTGAGTACCCCGTTTGGTTTAATAAAGCAGAACCATGGTAAAGCATATGACCCACTATAAAACCCTGCCACGTGTGAGTCAATCTTCCCATCGAGATACTCCACCACTCTCCTCTGATCATCAGGATTCGGGTACCTGGCTCCTCTWACATTCCAAGGCTGATGCGGGACCGTATGGATCCTGATCATCCCTACCTTGTCCACATCTAACCTCCCTCTGTAATCATCATTAAAGGCATAGGCAYAATGTTTCTCCCTCATTAATCCTATCACCAATGCYCTTTCTTGCTCAGTCAGAAACCCGGTTTCCCCGATAATCAGGTCCTTTTCCGTTTCCTCATTGATACGACRTGCCTCTTCATCCCATTTTTYTTTAATTTGCCTTATCAACTCTCTCTCTTGCTCGTAGTACACACTCTCTTCGTGTGTTACTAGTACTGGGACCRGATGRWTTTYYT